TTTGAACTTGAGTCTGAAATGGTTAGGTTAGTCTGTGGGTGCCGAGGCTGTAGATTGTAACATTCTTGAGCTGGTCTCAGGTAATTTCATCTTCCTTGTTCTCCAGACCAGTCTGGTAATGAAGTAAACAATTCTTATTAAATGCATATAGCTTATATGGAAAGCAGCATATTTAATTCCACAATGATATTTTAGAGTGTATCTTGAAGACTTCTATCTCCTTGGAGACCTAAAAGTATTTTGCTCTGCCGGTATTATTTTAAGTAAATATGTATTACTGACCTGAAGTACAGAGAAATCATTATTTTTTTAAACAGAAGGAAAATCAAACAAAAGTTTAATAACATGTATACAAGGAAGAAGTCCAGGAAAACTAAGTAACTTTGAGAAATTATTATTAATTATATGTGGTCCTAGGTTACACCAGAAGTATAAAATAAATATGAACCTCCAACAATAAGCAGCTATGGGGAAAGAATTCTATTCACTGCCTAAAACCCAGTGAGTTCCCTTTGACTGATCTCTGCTCTCCTTTGAAACCTGTATCGAATCAGTCAGTAGGATCTGTAACTACTGCCTTTGCTTCTGTCTTCCTCTGCATTCCCATGCTCCCCAGCCTCACCCTGTTGCCATCATCACACACCTGAATCACTGCAACAGCTTCCTGGCTGGTTTCCTGGTCTCTGATTTTCTGGGAGGGGTGATGGGGGTAACGGTGCGAATCACGTGAGGCAGCACAGAAGTGGGTTTGGGGAGTGGTGAGTAGTTCAGTTTCAAGAGAGCAATGAATTTATAGTAGGAAATGGGAGACAAGTCTGGAAGGAGATTAGCACAGTTGAGAGGGCCTTGGATTTGCACTCAAAGTTCAGATGATTTGGTGGTCATAGGGAAGATTTTTTTTTTTTTACTTTTGAGCCAGTGAGGTGGGAAAACAATTCTATTTTTGTTTTTAATCTAAAATGCTAGATTTTTTAAAATATGCTTTACCTTTACTGTATTTAGTAAATATTACAAAATACAAGAATTTTGCTTTAACACTAGACCCCACAGCCATTCAGACAATCATCGTCTGTCTCATGAGATGTGAGGTACCCTGGGGGAGGGGCCGGAGTGCTTTCCTGAGGAGGGCTTGACAGTGGCCCTGGCCCTCCTTCATTCACTTTCTGTGTCTGGTGATTTACTGTAATTTGCTCGGCTAAGTGGATTTCCAGAGAGCTAATTAATTATCACAAAGAAAATTTCTGCCTAGAACTAGACTGAAGCTCTTACTAAAACTGCAAGCACAAGAAAAGAATAAAGAAATGCACAGAGCTGACATTTCTGACTTCTGGGGCAAGTTCTTCATTCTGGACCTAATGATATAAAAATGATGATGATCTAATAAGATCTGACAAGATTAGCTACAAAATGGAAATTTGCAGGACTATTTGAAATATGGATTTTTATCCACTATCTATAATTAACTTTGTCCCATATGTATGTTTTATATTGATATGAGAGTTAAAAGTTACTTTAAAATTTTATATTTTGTAGGTATTATATATATATGCTTAGTCGCTCAGTCGTGTCTGACTCTTTGCGACCCCATGGACTGTGACCCGCCAGCCACCTTTGTCCATGGGGATTCTCCAGGCAAAAATACTGGAGTGGATTGCCATACCCTCCTCTATGGGATCTTCCCAACCCAGGGATCACACACAGCTCTCCCACATTGCAGGCAGATTCTTTACCATCTGAGCCACCAGAGAAGCCCATCATATATATAGCTTTATATATATTATTATATATAGTATATGTGCTCAAAAGTCTTAATGATACAATCAAAAACTTAAAGTCCACTGGATTAAAAGATGGCATTTGGAAGAAATCTGTCCTCATCATCTTTATTATCAAGTAATTGAATACTAGTACTACTATTTCATAATATTCTTAAGGATATGATAGAGATTATACTTGAATAATAACCAGTTATATTTAGACCATGAGCACTTTACAATTTGAGAAATTTGGGAAGCAATACCAAGTAATGACTCCAGAATCAGATCGCTTAGTCTCTTCAGTCATTGCTTCCTGGGGTAAGTTATTTAACCGACCACACCTCAGTTTCCTTGACTATAAAATGAGATATAGTAGTAATTTCTGCATAGGGCCCTTTTCATGATTAAATGAGCTAATATATGTAAAAGCTTAAATTGGCATACCATAAGAACTCAGTGAATGTTAACTAATATTAACCTGGCTTTAGTTAAATCTGGGGTTTTTAAAGTATGCTTTGCTTTAAAAAAAATTTTTTTTAATTACATTTTTTACTTTAAATAATTATTTTAAGGTTTTTAATGAAGTTTGGGTGATTTACAATGTGGGGTTAATTTCAGGTGTGCAGCAAAGTGATTCAGTCACTGATTCTTTTTCAGATTCTTAGAGGTTATTCTAAAATATTGAGTATAGTTCTCTGCACTACACAGTGTCTTCTTATTGGTTATGTATTTTGGTTGAATCTGAGGGACTTCCCTGGCAGCCCAGGGAGTAAGACTCCGTGCTTCTAATGCAGGGGGCACAGTTTCCATCCCCGGGTGGAGAGCTAAGATCCTCTGTGCTGCAACGGCCACGAAATAAATAAATAAATTGGAGAAAACCAACCCCCTTGCTCCCTACTGCCTCTTGCTGGCCAACAGAAGTCAGTACATGGCAACCTACATAGGGAAGCTAAATAAAATGCTTCACTGGGGCAAGGAAAGATTTTCAGTGTCTGAGGAAACATTCATGTTTAACTTCAGAAAAATTTCACAAACTGGTGTTGTGAAAAATCAGTCACGGTAAAATTAAGCACTTAGAAGTATAGAAAGAGAAAAGAAGTCAAAATACTTTAAAAAATAAATAATAAATATATTTCAAATGTTTAAAAGCAGTTTAAGATGCAGAAGGATGTTTTAAATGGTAGTACTCTGCAGCAGAGACCTTGGGAATTCTTGGTGCAGTGGAGTACTATCTTGCCAAGAAAAGCAACTTGCTTACCGAAATGACCAAATATGTATGTGAAGTTCTGCTGCCTTAATGTTTGGGGTGGGGGCAGGAGAGAGTATGAACCTTCCTATTTGCAGATTTTATAACAATAAAGTTTATTATTGAATTCTCACTATGTCAAGTGCTTTACTTACATCACCATGTTTTTTTTTTCACTTTTTAACATGAAAATATTCAAATATATAGAAAATAATAAGTCCATATACACAGAGTTTAACATTTAACAGTTTCCATATTTTAATTTTTCTGAATTATTTAAAATACAGATAGCAAATATTTTACTCCTAAATACACCAATATATTATCTAAGAAGGGAAGTTTTTCTAAATAAGCACAATGCCTCTGTACGCGTACATGCTCCGTCGTGGTGACTCTCTTCGGCCCTATTGACTATAGCCTGCAAGGCTCCTCTGTCTGTGGGATTTTTCCAGGCAAGAATACTGGAGTGGATTGCCATTTTGTCCTCCTGGGGATCTTTCCCACACAGGGACTGAACCTGTGTCTCCTGCATTTCCTGCATTGGCAGGCAGATTCTTTACTACTGAGCCACCTGGGAAGCCCCCAGTACTGTTAAAAAACAAAACAAACAATAAAACTGTCTAGTATCATCTAATGCTTTAGTCTCTATTCAAATTCTCCAATTGTCACAAAATATCTTTTATACCAGAACCAAGGACAAGCCATTGTATTATGTTTCTTAGGCTTCTTTTTATCTAAAATAGCCCTCCCTCAGTATTGCCTCTCTTCTTTTTTCTTTTCTTTTTATGTTTTTTTTTAAAGGTACTGAGTTAATTTTAGAGACTGAGCCATTCGTTCTCCAGGATGTCTCACCACTTGTTCTGGATTTTTTCTGATTATTTGCTTCTATCCTTGTAGTTCCTGCTTGATTACTCTGAAGTTAAAGATTTTTGGAAACAGTGCTTCACAAATGATGCTGGTGCTTCATATTGTATCACATCAGGAGACTCAGAATGTCAGGTTGGTCTAATTTTAGTGATGATAAAATTGACCTAGGTTAAGGTGGGAAGGGATCGGATTTCTCCACTGTCTTTATGATTTTCCCCTGATGACTGGCACATAATCCCTGGCTCTATGTGAATATCCTGTTCCCTATCGCACTTTTACCTGTTGGTCTCAGGATCCTGGTATGAATTAATCGCTTCATTAGGGACTACAAAATGGTGAATTTCTAATTCTATCCTTCATTTTACGTTATTTAGCTGGCATACTTTTGTGAAGGGAACGGTTTCCTCAGCAACTGGGGCCATTTGGTTACTCTGAAATACGTCTGCAACTAGAAAAGCAGGCTAAATGTTTATTTTCTTAAATTACCAGTATTCAGAGTAAAGAGTTGGTGTAAAAGTCACTACCAGTAGTATGGCAGACAGTTTTTTTTTTTTTTTTTTAAACAGAACACAGTTTAATAAGTAAATTGAATATGATCTAACTATAAAATTTAGGTAACAGACTCAGTGTTACATATGGCAGGACTGGAAAAAAATCATCCATGACATTTTCTTTATCCCTCCCTCTTAAGCCCCCTCCCACCTCATTATGCTATTAACGACAACATCAACAACAACAACAAAAATGTTTTAAAATTTTCCTCCATCAAAAAATGAGGGAAAATAATGAGGGAAGAGTTTTCTTTCTTTGAACAGTTTCTTGAACACTCCCAATACCAATCACTCACAAGATGTCTGTGCAAATCTACTTCACATGATTTCAAGGAAATGATTAATTCACACCAAAAAACCCTTAAACAAAGCTATTTCGGAGTTCTGTACAAAATCTGGAAAGGAGGGAGGAAAAGGGGTGGTGGTGGTAAAGAAGTACAATCCAGTCAAACAAAATGTTAAAAGTTTTAAATCAACGAGAATGACTTTTTTTTTATGGTCTGGGGAACCCAAGGCTAATAAAATGTTGGTCTGGTCCGGTTTCTACTGAAGGACACATTTCTCTTCTTTCTTGGCCATCTAGCCTTTGTTTTGCTCCAGAGTTCGCTCCAAATGTTCATCTTCTTCTTCAGCCTGCTTCTCCTGCGCGTCCAAGTCCCTGACGAGCGCGTCGCGCTTGTCCACTAGGGCCACCAGTTCATCCAGCAGGAGTTGCTCGCGTCGCTTCTGGGCCTCGGTCTTCTGCCAGTTTCTTTTTGAATCCCCATGTTAAGGTTGGAAAATCCGACAGGCCGTGTTCTTTCCATGTGTAGGGGAAGTTTTTTGAAGATTTTAGGCCCCAATCATATATTTCCTAATCTTTGCTGGTCTGATAATTTCCTTAAGATGAGCAGCAGTTTCGTTTAATAAAAACAGGACCAAATCGAACATTTAAAGCACTTTTGAAACCAAAGCCAACTGCTCTCCGGCCAGACTGCAAGGCGCAGACAGTTTTTTTAAGTTTTTTTTTTTTTAGATTTGTTTACTCTCGTGGGGAAATTAATTTTATGTTTGACATTTTAGATCAACTGCAGTTATTTGTGAAGCTTAAATCATTCTAACTTTGGCCAGTGGGCATTCCTTCAAGTTGGCTTCTGTGTCCTTTTCAAAGAACGTCATTTTTTAATACCTCCTGATTTTCTGTCACAAGATGTTCTGAGTGCTCCTCTTGACCTGGCATCAGCCATTTCTCCAAAGAACCCTGGTACCTTTTAGTGGAAAAGTGGTATTTAAAAATCAAAATCTGGGTGCCAAGGATAGTCATTGCTTCAAGGCTCTGAGTTCATATTAATTTTCATTTCAAAGTTAACAATAGAGTTTTTATGTTATTGTTATTATACCTCTTTACATGGAAGCTTTTACCCTAATAATATTAACAAAATTACTTTTAATATTTATATCAATCCTATGAGATAGGAGATCATATCTTACATTTATAACTTGTGAGCATAATTTATGTTACAATCTCTATTTTAAAAGGAGACACCAGAGACAAGAGGTGTCCGAGGTTCAGTTCAGTCACTCAGTCGTGTCCGACTCCTTGCGACCCCATGGACTGCAGCATGCCAGGCTTCCCTGTCCATCACCAACTCCTCGAGCCTGCTCAAACTCATGTCCATCGTTACACGTCCAGTAAACAGCACATCCAAGCAAACAGCAAGTAAACGTTACACGTGCGAGGTTACACGTCCAGTAAACAGCAGAGTTGGGCTTTGAGGCCCTCATGCAACTTCCATCAGGGAAAGGAGACACTGACTCTTAGAGGAGCTTTCCTAGGAGGCCAAGGGTCCTTAGAAAAGGTTATCAGGTAGATAATCAGGGCTGTTGTTCAAACTCGCGCGTCCGATTCTTTGCGACCCCATGGACTGTAGCACACCAGGGTTCCCTGTCCTTCACTATCTCCCGGGGTTTGCTCTTGTGCGAGGTCTGATCCACTAAGCCCCCTGATCAGGGCTAGGGTGCGGGAACCAGCGAGTGGTGTGAACAGAGCGCCCCCACATTCCTCCAAACCCAAAGGGCGGGACCCGACGAGGGACCGTCGGGTGCATGGTCCGAGCCGCTGTTTCACTTTAAATGGATCCTAAAGCTCCCTAAAGAGTACACACTGTCAGGGAACCACGCACGCAAAACCCACACAGGAGAAAATCCGGCTTGGACCTGAGAGCAGCTACAGCTCAGCAGAGGACCTGACCCACCCCTGCACAGAGCCCCGCCCACCCGCCAATCAGAGGGAGCCTTGAACAGGGGGCGGGACAAAAGAGGAGCCGGTCCAATGAGGAATCAGCTCCCGGTCGCCTCAGGACCTAATATTACAAAATCCAAGCTGCTAGCCTAGAGGAGGCGGTGGGTTGACCAATCAGAGTGAGTAACTCACAGCGTTGGGTACTGGCAGCCAGTCAGAAGAGAGCTCGCAGGTGACTCGCCCGGCCCCAGCTTCCCGCCTTTCCCCTAACCTCTAAATCGGGGGCCCGGTGGTTCCTGGGTCAAGTTCTTCCGCCGCGGACCTGTATTTCTCGTCCTCTCTTTACGCTTGTACTACCGATCCCAGGCTTGTGCAGGGGTCTAGTGGGACATGGCGAACTTGGGCTGCGAGGCCCTTCGGAGTCAGGATGGGGAGAGTTTTCTCTACTTCGCCTATGGCAGCAACCTGCTGACGGAGCGGATCCACCTCCGAAACCCCTCCGCCGTGTTCTACAGCGTGGCCCGCTTGCAGGTCAGTGCTCTCCGCCTGGCCCCCGAGATGTCCTCTGCCCTCTCTGCAGACAAAGGGGGAAGGATTTTGAGAACTCACTTTCTCAGGGCCGCTCGTCGTCAGCATTGGTCTGGGAATGCAGCTCTCTCTGCTCAAAGTACATCAGGGTTCCCTGCACGACCCTCCCCCAGCCCCTTCCCCCGCGGGTCCCTCTCGCCGTCTCTCAGCCCTCTGCTTGACCCCGGCTGAGCTGTGCTACTCTGGTTCCTGTGCCTCCCAGGCTGCCCTGAGCCCGCCCTCCTGACGTTCCCACCAGCTGCTCATTCTGCCCAGCTTCTGATGCCTCTCCCTTGGCCCCTGACTTAGGGACATCATCACAGAATCCACTCAGTTGGTTCCTCTGAGAAGTCTTCTCTGACCCAAGCCAAGGAATCAGTTGCTTTCTGTTCTACCTTTGCTCCACGACTTGTCACCTAGTTTTGTAAAAATCCGTCTACCAACCTTTTGCTCTCGACCTGAGGGGTCCTGAAATTTCGCTGCAGCTGTGTCTTATTCATAGTAAGGGCTGTGCTCACTTAAGTCTAATGGCTGGATGAACCTTCACTTGCCTTGGTAAGAATCATAGCTCTTAGTACAGTACATTTATTCATTTAGTTCATATTCTTCCAGCACTTACCTGGAGATTCAAAGATGACTGAGTAAAGCTAGCTGTTTTCAGGACCTCCCCATCTGTAGGAGAGACAGGCAAACAAGTTACCTACAGAGCCTTTTGACATCGTTGGACCAGACAGACATGGTCTCTGCTATCATTGGTCGGGTTCTTAGTTGCAAGCAACAGAAGTAGCTGATTTAAGCAGAAAGAGAATGTGTTGAAAGGCTGTTGAACAGCTCACAGAATGACCAGGAAGGTAGGACCACAGAACTGACAAAACAGGCGGGCATAGAAGGGAAGCTGTAAAATATCCAGTGTCGTGGATGGTAACAGCCCGGGAGGCCGCTGTTGACTCACCTCTGCGCTTGGTAAACATGGACGTTGCATCATGCATCACCCGTTCTGAACCCTCCCTCTATTGTCACTGTATCTGGAGGCTCCTGAAACCCAAGTGCAGTTCCCACCCCCAGAGTGGAGTTTCTGCTCCCCTGTGTCACTGATTTCTAATTCAAAACCCTAGGTGGGTGTCCTAGGCTAAATCTTGGCCATATGCCCATGCCCTGACTTCAAGCAAAGCTAGGAGAACCAGTCTCTGGCATTTGAAACTTCAAAAATGGGAGTTGGGCTCTGAGCTCTATCTACCCATCAAACTCATAAGATAGGGAATTCCCCAAACATGGTAAAGAAGCTTAGATGTTTATAGCTGGGATGCAGCAAAGAACTATCTAACAAATGATTATTCAGTCACAAGTATGGTCATTCTTAAAAGGAGATGAATTGTACCTTGCTCTCAGTTTTGCTCTGAACCTAAAACTGCTCTGAAAAGAGTGGAAAAAAAAATTATTTTAAGGAAGCATTGAAGGTGCTATAGGAGTACATGACTTAGGGATCTGACCTGACTGGCGTGTTCAGTAAAGCCATACCTGAAAATGTGACTTAAGCTGAGATCTGAATGACTGGCGAACGGAACAGCAGGGATAAAAGATTTCAGGAGAGAAAAAAGCTGGGTCTTCTAGCTAGTGTGGCTAGAATTTAATGTGTAAGGAGGATGTAGCATGAAGCGTAGAGAGGTAGGAAAGGGCCACATGTTATAGGACCCCAGAGGCCAATGAAGACTTGGATCTTTATCTTGAGAACAACAGTGAGAAGATCTCTGCCAAATTTAAGCAAATGAAATTTCAAGTTTACTCTTTGACAGCTTGTTCTGGTTGCTGTGGAAAGTGCTCTGGAAGGGTAGGGGCAGCCTACCAAAAGGGCTTTTGGAAGTGGATGTGGGAGCACAGTTAGAAAGCTTTTGTAGCGGTCACTACTGAAGCTAATGGTACCTTGGAGTGGTAGCCAGGGCAGGTAGATGGGTTTTTGGGGTGTTGAGGAGAGAACACTGTTAGGCTTTGGTGATTGATTGTGAAATGAAGAGTAGATAATGGTTTTTGATGCAACAGAGTGGATGATAGTGATATTTGTTAAAAAAAAAAAAAAGAGGATTAGTTTGGGAGGGAACGTCAAGCTCAGTTTGGGCATACAGTTGGCCCTTGAACAATGCCATGGTTAGTGGTTCCCACCCTTTGCTGAGCTGAAAATCAGAGAACTGCCACCTCTGCCTTAAAAACAGAGGAATTGATAAATGACTCACCCAAGGGCAGGAAGCTGAGGAGGTTTGGATAGAATCAGGACTTGGAGCCTAGTTCCTTTGCCACACATTGTCTATTTCAGTCTCTAATCAAACACAAACTTTCCCCCATACTTAGTTACTTGGATGATCTGAAAATTGAAAAAAATTCACAGATAAGTAGACCTGTGCAGTTCAAACCCATTGTTATTCAAGGGTCAGCTGTACTGAGTTTGAGATGCTTGTTGTATACCCAAGTGAGTAGAAAAATATTAGTGAACATTACTGAAGTACTTGGGCTTCCCTGGTAGCTCAGCTGGTAAAGAATTGCCTGCAATGCAGGGGACCGAGGTTCGATTCCTGGGTGGGGGAGATCCCCTTGAGACAGATCAGGCTGCCCACTCCAGTATTCCTGGGCTTCCCTGGTGGCTCAGTCAGTAAAGAATCCCTCTGCAGTGCAGGAGACCTGGGTTCGATCCCTGGGTTGGGAAGATCCCCTGGAGGAGGACATGGCAAGCCACTCTAGAATTCTTGCCTGGAGAATCCCCATGGACAAAGGAGCCTAGTGGGCTGCAATCCATGGGGTCACAGAGAGTCGGACACGACTGAGCGACTAAGCACAACACAGCACATGAAGTACTTACTGTGTTCGAAGTACTTACTGTGTTCTAAGTACTTTCAAAGTCAAAAGAGAGACCTGAGATGGATAAAAGACAGTTGGAATATTGGATGGTATTTGAAGCCATTGGTGGGTATGATTTTGTCTTGAGCAAACTGCTGAGAAAAGGGCCTAAACTGAGACTTTTAGAAACTCCATCATTTAAAAACCAGGTAGTGGAGGAGGAGTTGGTAAAGGGAATTGAGATCAAGGAACAGCCGAAAAGAGAAGAGGCAGATCAAGACAGTGTGGATAACTATGTCAGAAACATTTGAGAAGTAGAGCAAGATGAGGAATGAAAATTGTCTGTGGGATTTAACAGTATATCAGTTCAGTTCAGTCACTCAGTCATGTCCGACTCTTTTCAACCCCATGGACTGCAGCACGCCAGGCCTCCCTGTCCATCACCAACTTCCGGAGCTTACTCAAACTCATGCCCAATCGAGTGAGTGATACCATCCAACCATCTCATCCTCTGTCGTCACCTTCTCCTCCCACCTTTAATCTTTCCCAGCATCAGGGTCTTTTCAAATGAGTCAGTTCTTTGCATCAGGTGGCTAAAGTATTGAAGTTTCAGCTTCAACATCAGTCCTTCCAATGAATATTCAGGACTGATTTCCATTAGGATGGACTGGTTGGATCTCCTTGCTGTCCAAGGGACTCTCAAGAATCTTCTCCAACACCACAGTTCAAAAACATCAATTCTTGGCACTCAGCTTTCTTTATGGTCCAACTCTCACATCCATACATGACTACTGGAGAAACCATAGCCTTGGCTAGACGGACCTTTGTTGGCAAAGTAATGTCTCTGCTTTTAAATATGCTGTCTAGGTTGGTCATAACTTTTCTTCCAAGGAGTAAGTATCTTTTAATTTCATGGCTGTAGTCACCATCTGCAGTAATTTTGGAGCCCCCCAAAATAAAGTCAGCCACTTTTCCCACTGTTTCCCCATCTAGTTGCCATGAAGTCATGGGACCAGATGCCATGATCTTAGTTTTCTGAATGTTGAGCTTTAAGCCAACTTTTTCACTCTCCTCTTGCACTCTCATCAAGAGGTTTTTTAGTTCTTCTTCACTTTCTGCCATAATTGTCGTGTCATCTGTATATCTGAGGTTATTGATATTTCTCCCGGCAGTCTTGATTCCAGCTTGTGCTTCATCCAGTCCAGTGTTTCTCATGATGTACTCTGCATATAACTTAAATAAGCAGGGTGACAGTATACAGCCTTGACGTACTCCTTTCCCGATTTGGAACCAGTCTGTTGTTCTGTGTCCAGTTCTGACTGTTGCTTTCTGACTTACATACAGATTTCTCAAGAGGCAGATCAGGTGGTCTGATATTCCCATCTCTTTAAGAATTTTCCACAGTTTGTGGTGATTCACACAGTCAAAGACTTTGGCATAATCAATAAAGCAGAAATAGATGTTTTTCTGGAACTCTCTTGCTTTTTTGATAATCCAGTGGATGTTGGCAATTTGGTCTCTGGTTCCTCTTCCTTTTCTAAAACCAGCTTGAACATCTGGAAGTTCACAGTTCATGTGCTATTGAAGCCTGGCTTGGAGAATTTTGAGCATTACTTTACTAGCATGTGAGATGAGTGCAATTGTGCGATAGTTTGAGCATTCTTTGGTATTGCCTTACTTTGGGATTGGAATGAAAACTGACCTTTTCCAGTCCTGTGGCCACTGCTGAGTCTTCCAAATTTGCTGGCATATTGAATGCAGCGCTTACACGGCATCATCTTTCAGGATTTGAAATAGCTCAACTGGAATTTCATTACCTCCACTAGCTTTGTTCACAGTGATGCTTCCTAAGGCCCACTTGACTTCACATTCCAGGATGTCTGGCTCTAGGTGAGTGATCACACCATCGTGATTATCTGTGTCATGAAGATCTTTTTTGTATAGACAGGTCCTAGTGTGGTTGTATCTTTTATCAGATCGCCTAATGTCTTGCCAAGGATACCTGGTCCTAGAACATCTAATATACCAATCAAAGGTACTGGTCACTGAAATGAACCTTTTTAATGAAATTCTAAAGGTTTTTTAAGAAAATAAAGGTAACAGATAAAATATAAACTTTAGATTTATTATCTAATCCAAGTTTTTTTTATCATTAGGAAATTAAACTCTGAAAAAATGGAAAGAGATCTTCCTAGACCAAACAGGTCTTAATCTCCCTCAGTCTGTCCTTTGATTACTCATCTCTGTGAGGGAAGAAACTAACAACTTGAAACCTTGACTTCGTTATTAGTTGGGAGACCTTAGGCAAGTTGCTTAATCTTTTTGAGCCACCGTTTTTCTTTCTGTTAAATGTGTATAAAAAGTTGTTGACAGGATTTTGAAAAGTCCATATGAAGCCCCTAGCAGTGTACAGAACCCAGTAATTGTTAGCTGCTCTTATTATTATAGATATGTTAATATAATCATGAATATTAAAATTTATAAGTATACAAATCACCCTCACCTTTTTTTGCTCCCTTAGGGCAAAAAAAAATGCTAATAGGATACTCTTAACATATATGAAAGTAGAAATAATGTTATAAACCTTAGGCAGCCATCACCCAGCTTCAACAATTATGTACAGTATGATTATTGTTGTTTAGTTGCTGAGTTGTATCTAATTCTTTTGCAACCACCAGACTCCTCTGTCCATGGGATTTTCCAGGCAAGAATACGGGAGTGGGTTGCCATTTCCTTTTCCAAGGGATCTTCCTGAGACCCAGGGATCAAACCCTCGTCTCCTGCGTTGCAGGCAGATTCTTTACCACTGAGCCACCAGGGAAGCCCACACTCTGATTGCCTCTAAGTTAAATGTATGTGTAAGTAAGTGGATTGATTGGGAAGCAGTTTTCAAAAATAAAGATAGCTGTGTTAAGGCATCAGGATTATGGGATTTATTGTCCCTCTTAACCTCTTATTTATGGTAAGATACATGTACATATTCAGTATACAGTTTATTTTTAAGAAAAATGTAGTCCTTGAAATCTGGGTCCTTGGTTGTTTATCTTTGTGTTTTTTATAGAAGGAACTCAAAACATATGTTTTAATTACATGGTGTTGAAGGTAAATCTGTTTTTATTTTGAGAAGGGAAATTTTGGTTCATGTGGATATTGATCATATCACTTTGGTTTCCTTTGTAGGATTTTAAACTTGACTTTGGCAATCCCCAAGGAAAAACAAGTGAAACTTGGCATGGAGGTATAGCCACCATTTTTGAAAGTCCTGGCGATGAAGTATGGGGAGTAGTATGGAAAATGAACAAAAGCAATTTAAGTTCTCTGGATAAGTAGGTGGCTTCTAATTATAAGTTAAATCATTACTAATTTAGAAGGTGGATCATATGCAAGAATGTGTGTGTGTATATATATGGACATATTCTTTACACTTGAGAGTTAACCTAAAAGGTATAATGTTCATTTCCTAAAAAGAAAAGCCTGGAAGGGTTACACACTCTAAGATTTGGGGAGACTTTTGTTATCTCTTCTATAATTGATGGAAGTCCTTATTTTCTATTTGTTTTTTTAATAAAAATATCTTTGTAGTTTCATATTGTGAGAAAGCATGAAGATTTTTGTAGTTATTACATACTTTTACTGATTTCAAAAAACAACTCAGTTTTTATAAGAGTCAGATTTTTTAAAAATAATTCTTTAAGGTAGCAGTTGAATCAGTAAAAAAGTGATAATAATTTGTAAAACTTCAAAACATATTAGAAATGCTTTGATGCTTTTTAGAACAAAAGAATTGTGTGGCAAAGCATTTAATACAAAGAAAGTTGACAGAAAAGAGCAGGATTTGAGAAGAGCAAACATCTGACATGCTTACCACTTTACTTCACTTGCAAACAGGAATGAGCTGTCCTGTCTACTTTTGCAGGATGGATATTCTCTTGTCAGAACACAGTCCAGTTTTCGTAGGTAAAGAGCAATGTTTCAGGGTTATAAAGCTTACAATAACTAATATAAAGATCTGTTAGAAGTATACCCAGTAATAGTAAGTCTCCAGCTTTCTAGTTGAAATGCTAAGCTTACTTTTGATGTGGTGATTTTGTAGTATGTTCTAGTCTATCCCCAGATACATAGAGAACACATACATCCATAAATTGTTAAAATTTTTAATCCAGTAAACTAACTTGGCTGAGTCAACATATGATTAAAATGTGGCTGTTCTGATTCCAGGCAAGAAGGGGTTAAAAGTGGAATGTATGTCCCAATAGAAGTTACTGTTTCAACTCAAGAAGGAAAAGAAATAACCTGTAGAAGTTACCAGATGACAAATTATGAGCCTGTTCCCCCATCACCCCAGTATAAAAAGGTATCCTTTTTAACTTACAAAGACTTTTGGTGATTCCTTGTTAATTTTCACAGTTAAATGACAGAATATCTTGTTTTTAAAAGGCTTTGTGTTTTAAATTCTATATGAACAATTCATTTCAATCAAAATGTTTTTAATACAAAAATGATAGTTATTTACTGAATAAACATTCCAATTTATTTGTAATGATAGAACTATGTCCCTAAAACTTTATTAAAAAAAACTCTCAGAAATGTACTTGAGTCATAATCCTAGACATATTTTTCTTTAAAAACATGTATGAGTGTACTTTTTGTAGTTATTCTATACCTATGCTTTTTTAAAATCATTTTTTTCTTCTCCACAAAATAGTATTTCATAAACCCCAAGATTCATTTTTATAGGGCAAAAATATATTTCCTACTGCTGAAATGTTTTCCATTTCTAGATGGAGGGATAAGACATGCCCTTTCCAAAATCCAGCATGCACGCACAGGAAAAGAATTAAGGATAGAGAGGCTGACATCCCTCTTCAGAAACCCAAACTTAGGTACTTATTGGCAGGTCCAATCAGGACATGATACTTGGAGAAGGTGACCCAGTTCCTGGGCCTAATCTGGAATTCTGGAATTTTCTAGAATGGAGCCTAGAGGAATTAGCCTGGTGTGGATCTGGGGGGTACCATTGAATCCACTTGCTGTTTATTCCCCCATGTGTAATTCAGAGGTAGAGTAGACTCCAGGATTCAACTAAAAACTACTCCCTATAAACTTTAAATTTCTTGGAAGAATGGTGTTTGTTTCTTAAAAGATTTTGTTCATTTCATGCAAATTCTATACAGTAAGTTTTATATTAAAAATATTTTAAACCACAGTATTGAGTACAGTTGCTATCACATAGGGATGGATTGTGTGGCTATGAAAACTCCCTGTACATTCATACTCATCCCGGGAAGAATGAAATCTCTATTTTGTTTTACAGTTGTTTGTTCTAGAGTTATCTGAAAGCTAATTTATTTGATACTACATATAAAGCTGTGGTATACTAAACTAAATTATGTTCCTAAGTAAAAGAGGGTTTTGTTGTTGTTTAACCATTTTCTAGGTCATTTGCATGGGTGCAAAAGAGAACGGTTTGCCACTGGAGTACCAAAAGAAGTTAAATGCAATAGAACCAAATGACTACAAAGGAAAGGTCTCAGAAGAAATTGAAGACATTATCAAAAAGGGGGAAGCAAAGACTCATTAGAACTTAATGGAATATATCTACATATATTTTCTCTATATGCTAATACCTTTTTAACATTTAGAACAGGGATCTGGGATGTATCTCTGTTTAATATGGTTCAACAGTGTTCTGGAGGGTTATCTCATTTGGGTGATTCCTTGTTTTCAGACTGTAAAAAGACCAAGGCAGGAGTTAGACAATTGAAAGGGGGGCTGTGAGAGGTGTTGGAATGCATGACAGTTAGGTGTGAGTACTCCTGTGAACCCTTAAAGTTATTTTATTGAGTTTATCTGAAGTGTATTTTTGCTCTGTGACTGAAGATAAATTTGCAGCTTAATGATGGTGCTGGCAAATCGCTCCGCTCTGGGATTTTTTAAAGTCAGCTTAATAAGAGCAAGCAAACTGAAGAGACAATTGATTATAAAATTTTTTAATTATTTTAAAACTATTTAAAATTTTTAAAGTTATTTTAAAATTTAAAAGATGGCATAATGTTCTTAGAGGAATAAATATATTTGTGGTTTAACCTGTATTCTCTGTGAAAATACTACATTTCATTTTATGAGAAAGACTCACCTCATCACACATACTGGGTCTGGTCTTGGCCATATCCAGTCTATACTAAAGGATTATTGCACAGACTCTGGAACCAGCATATTAGGGATAGGCTGTCAGGTAGAAAGGCTGGGAAAGGCTGTCACCACTTTCTGCCTGGGAAACTTTGGGTTATTTGACCCAACTTCCTCAGCTTCCTCGCCTGCAGACTGAGGAGAGCCCAAATATCTGTGTCTTAGGATCATTTTGAGGGGCATATGTATAAGCTTGGAACGCAGCCTGGCATATAGCAAGTATCAGTAACCATTATTGTTCTTGTTGAAGGATTAAGTTTGTCCTGAGCCATCTTTGGGACAGGATTTTAAAGTAGAAGGGTCAAGATCATGAGGGAAAAGTATTTCTTGGGAGCTAAAATTTGATTTCTTGGCTTATTAAAAAATGGTCACCTTCTTAAATTTATTTACTGAATAAATGCGAGAGAGTCATGAATCAAACAACACTGGCTATCAAGCAGTCTCTCATGTCTCTGTGGAATCCAGTGAGCTGGACCTTCAAAATAGGTTATTAGAATGGAATCGGTTATTAGCTTTGGTTTTTACTCTTGGGAAGAAGGCCCAAAGAACTTTTCAGCTACAGCTGCAATTCTGTAGTGAGGCTTCACTATCTCCCAGAGTGGAGAACAAATGGAAGATTTTCCTTATTTTCTTTCAAGCCCAGAAATGCTTTTCAAAGACTGTGTTGGTGATAGTATCGCCAGGAGCTGGTTGTATTTTGAGAGGGCCAAAATCACTGATGGAAATTCCTTACATATGACATTTGCCAGTACTACCTTGAAAACAACTAGAAAGATAAAATGAGCTGAAAGGCTAGACAGTAATGGAAAGTATAATATATGTAGAGGTAATGTTGCTAGCAACTATAAAAGGTGAAAAGTAAAGTGAAGTAAGTTTTTACACTTCATTTGAACAGGTAAAATGACACCAGTAGACTAAAAAATTAGGTATGTATAATATGTATTATATAGGAGGATGTCACCTATGGGACTTGCCTGGTGGCTCAGACGGTAAAGCGTCTGCCTACAATGCAGGAGACCTGGGTTCAATCCCTGGGTTGGGAAGATCTGGAGAAGGAAATGGCAACATACTCCAGTATTCTTGCCTGGAAAATCCCATGGACGGTGGTACCTGGTAGGCTACAGTCCATGGGATCACAAAGAGTCAGACAGGACTGAGCGACTTCACTTTCACTTTCATCTTACCTACTTAAAAAGTATACAAAGAGCTACACTTACAAACACCACAGGTAAATAAAAACAGAATTCTAAAAAATGTTCAGGTAACCCACAGGAAGACAGGAAAAAGAAAATGGGAAATGAAAGAACAGAAAACAGAAAGAACAGAACTGGGAAATGAAAGAACAGAAAACATAATGGCACATTTATACCCTAACATATCAATAAGTATATTCAATGAAATTATCTCAAGACACCAATTAAAAATTGGTGGAGTGGATTAAAAGCATATAATACTTTTCTATATGTTTACAACAACTTGTTCATCCATCCATTGATGAACATTTGGACTGTTTTCACCTTTTGACTATTGTGAATAGTGCTGCTATGAACATGTGCATACATATATATTTTTAAGTACCTAGGAATAGAATTGATGGGGTCATATGGTAATTCTAGGTTTAAGTTTTTGAGGAATGACCAACCTGTTTCTCACACTGGCTGAACAATTTTACATTCTTACCAACAATGTATATAATTTTTTTTTGTATATAGTTTTTTAAAGAAAATACTTAAGTGAAAATTTAATCAAACGTTTTAAGACATGTATACTGAACACTACAAAACACTGATGAAAGATATGTGCATAGTTTGGAAGGCTCAATATAATAAAGATCTCAGTTTTCTCCAAGGTAGGGTTACTACAATTTCTGTCAAAATCCCTTCAAGATTTTTCTTCTAAAATTTATATGGAAAGGCAAAGGAATCAGAATACGTGAAGCAACTTTGAAAAAGCAGAATAAAATGGGAGGACTCAACTGACCCAATTTCAAGATTGTATGGTACTGGCAGAGGAATGAACATACAGATCAATGAAACAGAATGGAGAATCCAGAAATATACACATACAAGGTGCACAAGTAATTTAGCGGAGGAAAGATAGCCCTTCAGCAATTAAGTCCTTCAACAAAGATACCTTTGTCCTTCGACAAAGAAGCCCTTCTCGCTTGGAGAAGGAAATGGCAACCCACTCCAGTATTCCTGCCTGGAGAATTCCATGGACAGAGGAGGCTCCATGGGGTCACAGGAGTTGGACACGACTTAGTGACTAATCCACCACCACCACCAACAATGATGCTGGAGCAAAAATAATAAGCAAAGATAATAATTACAATAAAGTTAACAAGTCTCATTCAAAAATTAACTGAAATGCCTGACAAAACTATAATAATAAGCAAAGATAATAATTACAATAAAGTTAACAAGTCTCATTCAAATATTAACTGAAATGCCTGACATAAAACTATAAACTTTTGGGGGGAAATTTTCTTTGACATCTAGGAATTTGTAAACAGAGTTCTTAGACTGAATACCAAAAGCATGATCCATACAAGGAAAAATGAATAAAACTAGTGTACATCGAAATTTAAAATGTTTGCTCAGTGAAAGATCCTATTAAGAGAATGAAAATACAAGCTTGAAATGAGAGAAAAATATTTGCAAACTCCATATATAACAAAGGGTTAGTATCTACAATATATAAAGAACTTTTGAAACTCAACAAAAACAGCAAATAATTCAACTAATAAATGAATGAGACATGAAAAGACATTTCACGCAAGAGGAGACATAGATGGCAAATAAGCACACGAAAAAATGTATACCATCATTAGCAAATTAAAACCATAATGATAGATCATTAAACTCTACACACATGTAGAACGGCTAAAAGAAAACATGACAGAGTCAATGCTATGAGGATGTTATGAAACTAGATGACTTACACATTGCTGGTGGGACTGCAAAATGGTCCAGCCACTGTGGAAAACAGTTTAGCAGTTTCTTAGTAAACTAAACATGCAACTATCATATGACCCAACAGTTGCACTCCTGGGCATTTATCCCAGGGAAATGAAAAGTTATGTTCACATATAAACCTGTAGATTAATGTCTATAGCGATTTTATTCATAACAGCTAAAGACTGGAAATAATCCAAATGTCTTTCTACATGTGAATGATTAAGCTGTGGTATCTTTGTGGTAATACCATCAAATAGTACTCAGTAATAAAGAGGACCATTGATACATGTGATGCCCTAGGTGAAGCTCCAGAGACTTAGGCTGAGTGAACAAAACCAGTCCCCGAACAAAATTTCAATACATACTGTGTGCTTCCATTTATGTAACATTCTTAAAATGACATAGTACAGAAATGGGGAACAGATTAGCGGTTGTCAGGGGTTAAAGAGGGGATGGTGTGGTGTAATGGCAACGTGGGGACTCACTGCAGTGGTGGAAATGTTCTCTATCTTGACTGTATCATTCAGGGTCTGCAAGATGTTACCATGAAGGGAAATTGGGTTAAAGGTGTAAGGGTCTCTGCATTATCTCTTTACAGTTGCATGTGAATTTACAGTTCAGTTCAGTTGCTTAGTCGTGTCTGACTCTGCAACCCCATGGACTGCAGCACGCCAGGTCTCCCTGTCAATTTTACATTCTTAACAACAATGTATATAATTTTTTAAGGGAAATACTTAAGTGCAAATTTAACCAAATGTGTTAAGACTTATACTGAAAACAACAAAACACTGATGAAAGATATCAAAGATCTAAATAAATGGAGAGGTATACTATGTTCATAGTTTGGAAGGCTCAACATAATAAAGATCCAACTCCCGGAGCTTGCTAAAACTCATGTCCATCAACTCGGTGATGCCATCCAACCATCTCATCCTCTGTCGGCCCCTTCTCCTCCTGCCTTCAATCTTTCCCAGCATCAGGGTCTTTTCCAGTGAGTCAGTTCTTCGCATCAGGTGGTCAAAGTGTTGGAGCTTCAGCTTCAGCATCAGTCCTTTCAATGAGTATTCAGGACTGATTTCCTTTAGGATTGACTGATTTGATCTCCTTGCAGTCCAAGGGACTCTCAAGAGTCTTCTCCAACACCACAGTTCAGAAGCATCAATTCTTCAGCACTCAGCTTTCTTTATGGTCCAACCCTCACATCCATATATGACTACGGGAAAAACCATAGCTTTGACTAGGACTTAACTGGTGGCTCCGACGGTAAAGTGTCTGCCTACCATGCGGGAGACCCAGATTCAATCCCTGGGTCAGGAAGATCTGGAGAAGGAAATGGCAACCCACTCCAGTATTCTTGCCTGGAAAATTCCATGGATGGAGGAACCTGGCAGGCTACAGTCCATGGGGTGGCAAAGAGTCGGACATGACTGAGTGA